CAGATGAACTTACAAATTTTTTATATTCTCTTTTCTCTCTATGAATTTGGAAGCTGTAAAGAGTATTTCTATCTTTTAAAGGTTATGCTTAGATTTAAAAAATACATTCTTTACAACGGTTTCAAGAAGAGTGTAAAGTTATTCAGCCTTAATACCTCTATCCTCCTCACAAACAGAACAGAGATGTTAACCTACTAAGTATCCAGGGAAGACTCCATCTTATTTTCTATTATTCTTGTTCAAAGATTTAGTTTCATGTTTTGGATACTTTGCCACTTACTTTTTTCAGTTTCTCTGCTTAGTTTTGTATCTTGTATTACAGTCTTCCTCTGAGTTAAAATTTCTTCTTGCTAATGTATATCCTTTATAATTCTTTTAATGATGGTTTGTAAATAAAACATTCTCATGGTCTTATAAGTGGGAAAATGTTTTTATTTCCCTATAATAAGAGTATGTGCCACTAGCAGTGATCACAAGTTAGGATTGGCAATCAAACTCACATATCACAATATGGTTGAATCTATCATTATATTGACTTAGATTTATAGAAGGATAGAAGTCAGGAAAAAAAGTATTTCTCCCATTGGGAAGCCCTAAAACTATATATGTAGACAGCTTCTTGTCACTCCCCTTACCTACCCAGGATGCGTGCAACAGATAGGGATAACTTCAGTATGTATGTGTTTTTGTTTTTGTTTTTTAAGATTTTATTTATTTGAGAGAGAGTGTGTGTGAGAGAGAGAAAGAGAGAGCACGAGCAGGGGGGAGGGGTAGAGGGAGAAGCAGACTCCCCACTGAGCAGGAAGCCCGATGCAGGACTCGATCCCAGGACCCTGGGATCATGACCTGAGTTGAAGGTAAACGCTTAACCCACTGAGCCACCCAGGTGCCCTGGGATGACTTCAGTGTGTATGTGGTTTAACTTAGCACAGAGAAGCCACAGCTTTAACCCATCAATCTTTTATATTGTTCCTGTCCCATAAGCCCAAGTCTTGTATGCCTACCTATAGCAATCTCAGTCCAGAAGTACTCCCACCAAACCAAAATTTCACAGTAAATAAGACAAATTGTTGTTTCTTATATGTAACACTCCACATTTGTCTTATCTCAACATGTGTCCAAAGAAATGATGCTGTGAGAAGGAAAACAGAGATTTTCTTCCCAGGAAAGCCTTTTTATGTTTAGGTTCTGGGCCTAATCTCACAGGTGGTTTAGCCAGGCATAGAATTCTAGACTGAGAGTGATTGAGAGTGAAGGCATTGCTCCGTTGTCAACTAGTATCTATAGTTGCTGGTGTGAAGTCCACTGTCTGCCTAATGGTCATTTCTTTAAGAATCTAATTTTGATTTTTCTTTTTCTTTTACTTTCTTTTTTTTTTCTTTCTTTTTTTTTTTTTTTAAGTAGGCTCCATGCCCAGCATGGAGCCCAAAATGGGATTGAACAACCCTGAGATCAAGACCTGAGCTGAGATCAAAAGTTGGACACATAACTGACTGATCCACCCAGGTGCCCCAAGAATCTGATTTTTCTAATAGATTTTAATATTTTCTCCTTATTTTTAATTTCATTATAATGCATCTAAGTATTCATTTATTTTTATTTATCTTTCTTAGAACCTGGATTACTTTTTTAATCTGAGGATTTGTGTCTTCAACACTTAAGCTAATGTCTCTTCAACAATTGCTTCTCTACTCTTTCCTTTATTTTTAATTTTTTGAAGCTTCTATTAACCTAAATTTTACCAATCTATCCTCCAACTCTCCAAACTTCTCTTTCATAAGTTCTTCAGTTCTACTTTGTTTTACTAATTCTCTCTTTGTGTCTTTTATAAAGTTTATACAATCTTATTTCCAGAAACTCTAATCGCCCATTTCTAGATCTGCCTGTTATTGTTTTGTTTCTGCATGTTTTTCTTATTCTTTATTATGAATTGTTTCCTTATTTAACTTTGGTGAAAGTCTAAATATCTTATCATAAAACCTTTTTCAGATTGTTAAATTATTTTCCCTTCTTGGATATTCAAGTAGTACTAGACAGAAGTTTGTTTGTTTGTTTTAAGTTTTCTTTCATGGCATGGTACCCCATCTCATACCCTAATTTCAAACAATTATCCCAGGTCTGATCCCCACTTGCTTGGCACCTTGAGACCCTGTCACTCCATGGGAACTAATCTCTAGTTATCTCTGCCTCTTTACTGTGCCAGAGCCTAGCAGACCCTCAGCTACAACCCCATTTATTGTTTTGCATTTCCATTCACTTTATGATTCAAAGAAACATATATTTGTTCTTTAGAGTATTGTTATTCTTTAAATTTTTCTCTTTTATTGTTTTTTCTATAGTAACTGTTACCAAAGAAGGGGGTAGCTCAAATGTTGAAACTTTGTCTTGAAGAGAATTATAATAGATCTCATTACCCAATATAAAAAGTATTCCACTTCTTTAGAAACATTCTTTTTTTTTTTTTAAGATTTTTTTTTATTTATTTTTTGACAGAGAGAGACAGCGAGAGAGGGAACACAAGCAGGGGGAGTGGGAGAGGGAGAAGCAGGCTTCCCTGCTGAGCAAGGAACCCGATGTGGGGCTCGATCCCAAGACCCTGGGATCATGACCTGAGCCGAAGGCAGACGCTAAACGGCTGAGCCACCCAGGCGCCCCTTTAGAAACATTCTTTTGAAGATACATTTAGTAAGATAATGGAAAAAGACTTTGGAGGTGGTTCTTCTGAAGTAGACATTTCTTTACCATTCCTGCATAAAACCAGATAGCATATTACTTAAATGTCATTCAATGATGACATTTCTAATGGAATTAGAGCTGTAGTCTAAATAAATTTTTAAACTTGGCTTAAGGTTAAAATGTGGAGACTGAATGGTTAGCTTCAAATATCCCTCAAATATCACTCTTCTCAGCTAAGCTTTTTGACAGGGCTGAATTTCAGTCAGTCCAAGATTGAGCTCTTTAGAGGAAGTGAAGACATTGTGTTGATTGAAAAGAGATCCATATGCTTTAGGCATATGTTTTAGACTGTCAGGTGGCAAGGCTGACATTCTGTTATAAAAATTCAGGAGCCTGACTTGTATTCTCACCCCAGCAGAAGGCCTTCTCACCCCCCAAAGTGAGCCATAGCAATGCCTGTGAAAAAGATAAACTTTTTATTTAAAAAGTGCTTCAAATCCTCTCAAAGTCTTGGGAGAAACCTCCCTTGAGGTTTTCCATAGCGCAGGAGGAATTTCCTAGGACCCAGAAGGAAAATATTAATAAAAGAAGACCTTAGTTCAGAGGGACTTTTAAAAGGAAGGAACACACATGTCCTTTTTAGTCAAAGTTGAATTCAACAAGGAACCTCATACTCATCTCATACTCAGTTCTGAGGATAAGAGAGATGACGGTCAGTTGGTTCCTATCCTTGAAGGATCAGAACAAGACTAGAGACAGAGAGAGGAACCAGAAAATGACTAGTCCTCATGAGACAGAAAAAGACCAAACTAAGGCAATAAGAATGTAGAAGAGATAAGGAAGGTTTAAAATGTATTTAGGAATTTTATAATTCCAGAATGCTTCTTACATCTTTTGCTTATTTGACAGAGATGATTGATAGGGCCATTAACCAACACAAAAAACATGGGAAGAAGAGAAGGAAAAGGAGCAATACTGCAAAGAGTTCAGCTGTTAGATTGGACTTTAAGTGTTTGGGAGACCTCCAGATGGAAGAATCTAGTGAGCAGTGTATATACAGTAGATTTTAGTACAGAAACTATAAATTTGGGAGTTATCAACTTATGGGAATATAGAATGAACAGAGAACTCCTGGGAGAACAGGAGAAAGTTACCACTTTTGAATCCATCAAAAATTTCTCAATCAGTTGAGATAAATGAGTAAAAATCACAGATTTGGCATTTTTTTAATACCATGAAGCCACAGAACACCCACCTATCCTTCTTTACCTTTGTTGTATCTTGAAATTGGCTCAGCACATCTCCAACTGCTGACAAAATAACCAAGTAACCTGAAAAGTTGGATTTGGAACTAGATTCATTTTCTGAAATACATAAACTGCTAGCAAAAAGCTCAGTCTGAGAGACAGAGAGAGATCATGGAATCCCACAGAGGTTCCAGTCCATGATATCAAAGGAGAATGCAAATCTGAGTAAGCAGTATCTCTCATAGGTGGACCAAAAAAACAAAAAAAGAGAGAGAGAGAGAGACATGAGGTGGGAGAGGTTCTCCAAATGCTTCATAGAGGGCCATCAGGAGGTAGCAGGGCCCCAGGGATCAGGCAAAATTAAGAGAGCAGGTTAAGAGAAGACAGTTAGAAGCTCCCAGAATCTGGAGAGATTCCAGAAACAAGGCAGATGATGTATTATCAGAACCGTAGTACTTAGAGCTTGGGGGCTAGATCTCAGAGAAGAGGTATTAAAACGCCTGATAGGGGCACCTGGGTGACTCAGTCGGTTACGCATCTGCGTTTGGCTCAGGCCATGATCCTAGGGTCCTGGGATGGAGCCCCACTTCAGGTTCCCTGCTCAGCAGGGAGTCTTCTTCTCCCTCTCCCCCTCCCCCCAGCTCGTGCGCTCTCTCTCTCTCTCTTTCAAATAAATAAGTAAATAAAATCTTAAAAAAAAAAATTACTTCCTCAATAGTACTCAGATCCATGACCTTTTTTCATCTTCGCTGCCACTTTGGTTTAGACCACCATTACGCCCTTGCCTTTACTGAAACAGCCGTTTACTGGATCATTCTGCCTCCAGTTGTGCTCTCTCGAGTCCTCTCTTGTCACTGCAACTGGAGTGACCCTTTAAAAGTATAAACCTGGCCCCGGCTCCGGAGCATAAACAAGAGCGGGCACGGGATGAGGCGGCGGTTGATCCCCCGGGAAGCCAGCTGCGGCCAGCGAGGTGGCGAGCGGGGCCGGCGCCGACCCGGAGCGCACCCGACACGCCTCCCCCACCCTACCCCCCACCCCCCAACCGCCGGCCGGGCCGCCCGCCGCGCGCCCATCATGCACCTGGCGAGTCAGAGCGGCAAGGCCGGCGCCGGCCAGCTGCTCTTCGCCAACTTCAGGCAGGACAATATGTCCCTAGCTGTTGGTAGTAAGTGCGGTTATAAATTTTTCTCCCTTTCTTCTGTGGATAAGCTGGAACAGAGCTATGAATGCACTGATAATGAAGATGTGTGCATTGTAGAAAGATTGTTTTCAAGCAGCTTAGTGGCCATCGTTAGCCTCAAAGCTCCTAGGAAGCTCGAAGTTTGCCACTTTAAGAAAGGAACTGAGAACCACAACTACAGCTACTCGAATACCATCCTGGCTGTGAAGATGAACAGGCAGAGGCTAATAGTATGCCTGGAGGAGTCTCAATATACACAACCTTCGGGACGTGAAAGTCCGGCACACGATCAGGGAGACCCCTCCCAACCCTGCAGGCTTGTGTGCACTGTCCACACACAACGACAATGGTTACTTGGTGTACCCAGGCAGTGCCACCATCGGAGAGGTGCAGGTCTTCGACACCATGAACTTGAGAGCTGCGAACATGATCCCGGCTCACGACAGTCCCTTGGCAGCGCTGGCGTTTGACTCCAGCGGAACCAAGCTCTCCACTGCCTCGGAGAAGGGGACAGTGATTAGGGTATTCTCCATTCCAGAGGGACAAAAACTCTTTGAGTTCCGGAGAGGAGTTAAGAGGTGTGTGAGCATCTGCTCCTTGGCCTACAGCATGGACAGCATGTTCCTCTCCGCATCCAGCAACACTGAGACTGTGCCCATCTTCAAACTCGAGACTGTGAAAGAAAAACCTCAGGAGGAGCCCACCACCCGGACCGGGTACTTCGGGAAGGTACTCATGGCTTCCACCAGCTACTTGCCCTCCCAAGTAACAGAAATGTTCAACCAGGGCAGAGCCTTTGCCACAGTCCACCTGCCTTTCTGCGGCCACAAGAACATCTGCTCGCTGGCCACAATTCAGAAGATTCCCCGGCTCCTGGTGGGAGCTTACGACGGGTACTTGTACATGTACAACCTGGACCCCCAGGAGGGAGGCGAGTGACCCTGATGAAACAGCACAAGTTGGATGGCAGCATGGAGACGACCAATGAAATCTTAGACTCAGCCTCTCGCGACTGCCGGTTAGTGACCCAGGCCTACAGCCCAGCTGTTGCCACAGGTACTCACGGGCCTTCATCCCCCACCAGACTTGCCTACACAGACGAGCTGGGAGCAGTGGGCGGCACATGTCTGGAAGAGGAGGCCAGCGCTCTGCGGCTGAGGAGGACAGTGAGCATCCTCCTATGATTCTTCGGACTGACTGAATTTGACTTGTGAATTCAGACCCCCAAAGCAGAGAACACTGGCTTGACGGAGGACTTTGTGTTATGCTGCTACGAACTTTGACCCGAGCTGGAGAGAGGATGGCAGAGACTTTAAAAAAAAAAAAAAAGATTGTAGCTGTGATCTCATTCCATACTGTTGAGAAATACATCGTTTTCACTTCAGTGGCTTTTAATCCTGCTTAGGAATCTTAGCTTTTTGTTTGTTTTCTCTTTTTGCCAAAATTAACTGTTTGGTGAAGCCCTTGAAACCTTGCTTTGCATGCATTAACGTGCCAAGCCAGAGTAGGAGAACTAGAAGCCACTTTATGACAATGGCAGTTGTTGGGTTTTTAAAATCTGTATAGAATGAGGAGTGTACACGAGGAGGTGGCATCGTGCAGAGTGGTTCCGGGTGTCAAGGCGGGTTCTGCTCGGGAGGGTCCAAGAGCCCTCTCTGGGCTTGCCAGGCTTGGGGGCATCAGCCGTGGGGAGGAGAACTCTCTCCCCAGAGCCCCCCATGGGCCCTTTTCCCCCATTTTATTTTGTTAATTAAATTCTTTCCAAATTGGAAAAATAAAATAAAATAAAAATATAAACCTGATCATATCACACCCACCTTCCATTTTAAAATCATTCCCTGTAACCCTCTTTCTCAAAAGATAAAATCTGAATCCTTCATGTGACTTTAAGTTTTCTTATGAACTGGTCCCCACTCACTTCTGTAATTCTGTTTCTCACCACATGCTGCCTAATATTCCATGGTCTAGACATACTAAAGAATGAGCAGTTCTCTAAACTTTCTCTCTCTCTTCCGGGTCTTTGCAAACTGCTGTTTTTCCTGCCTAGGATACTTTTCAGTTTCTTCATTTGGGGATGCCTGCTCTCCTTGCATCTCAGCCAAGACATCACTTCCATATAAACCAGAGTAAGTTGAGTATGCAACATGCTCCCAGAGCATCACATATTTTCTATCATTCATTGTCCTGCCCTGTTCTAATACTCTCTGTCTAGCTTCTCCTCTACAACTTCCAGGACAGTATGGACTATTCTGGTTACCATTTCATCCCCAGCACTTACCGTGGTTTCTTGAAAATGGCCAGTAGCTATTTGTTGACTGAATACTTCATTTTCCCACTGAACTACAGAGTCATGGGCTGTGGCTGGGAAGGTATCCTCTCCGTTACAGCTGATTTAGTACAGTGACTGAGGTGGACCCAGGATGGTAACAGTTAGGAGCCCCAGCTGAAGAGAAAGGAGGACTGCCAAAACCCTGATATCTCTGTATCCTATTCTTTACTGTATAAGCATCAGAAAAAATAAGTTTGTGTCTGCTTATAGTGGACCTATGTTATCTTGTACGTGGAACCTCTCTTTTCTAACTTCTATTGTGTGGGATTGGCATCACATTCAAACTCTAAGGTTGGCCCTTGACCCCAACATGGTCAATTAGAATATGCTATTCCCTATGCTCCATTAATGCTCACATGACCTTAGATGAGCCAATGGGAGCCTTCCACGGACTTTTGCTGGAGCAAAGAAGAAGTCTTCCTGGAGATAGTGTAAATTAAGCACAAAGAAGGTTGCAACTCTGATCTACCTAAAATGTCAAGTAATAGAAGACTTGTGAAAGAACAAAAAAAAAACATAAGGAAACCATTTAAAATAATGATATCGCCGATGGATTGTTCAGTGAATAAAATTACATATTTTACGCACATAACTGTAGTACACAGGTGTATATGTGTATTTATAATTCACGTTATGTTTATGTAGATAGATAGAGTTAGGTAATAGAAAACTATTAACAGGATTGTAGTTATATTTTTTCTGACTTATACATACAGTACATATAACAAAGTTACCGGAGATAAGACTGAATAGCATGAGTTTTAGAAAAATGATCCCTGTATTTTTAGGGCACGACTGTTAGGTGGGAGTTCATAAGGAGGACCATTACTTAGCAGTGAGAAATATCATTTCTCCCCTGAGGGGAAGGATGTTTCCACTAGGCAGAAGTTAATCTCTAGGCAGGAAATATGGCAGGCCTACGAACTGGATAAAGGGTGGACAAACTTTTTCTGTAACGATCCAGATAGTAAATATTTTTGGCTCTGCAGGCCATACTGCCTCTGTCACAGCCTCTCAGTTCTGCCACTGTAGTGCGAAAGCAGTCACAGACAATATGTAAATAAATGAGCGTGGCTGTGGTCCAGTAAAATTTTATTTACAAAAACAGACGGACAATGGATTTGACCCCTGAGTCATAGTTTGCTGACGCCTGGACTATGGGAATAAAAGCCTTTCTCTCTGCGAGACCAGTTGGACGGGAATCCTACGTGTGGAGACACTCGGAGGCGTTCCACTGCTCAGAGTAAGCTGTCCTCATACAGGGAGAAGGCCGGACTCCGGGGCTGCGCAGGTGCAGAAGATGTCGGCCAGAGGGGAAGTCAAGCTTAGGGAAGTGATAGGGCCGCCCTCCAGCTGCAGGAGGTTATGCTAGTCTTCTACAAGCAGAAAGCAAACTATTTGCAACCAAGAGTAGCAGTGCTTACAGAACCAGCGGGAGACATGAGCGGTGGGAATGCATCAAGATAGTGGTGGGGTCACAGAAGGTGGCGATGAACAAAGATGGGCTCAGAAGAGCAGGAAACCATCAGAGAAGAAGGGCAGGAGCAACAGTACAACGATTAAGATGAAAAGCTCAAGTAGGAAGACCCCAGAGACCTGTCCTGTGCCCATGGAAACGGTCAGAAATAGCTGGATGACACTTTGAGTGGGCCAACTTTCAAGCTGTAACAATTTGTAGAGCAAAAGGAGTTGCAATTGTATTTGATGTCACTAGCTAATGAGGCCAGAGACATAGGGGTTATTTACATAATAGCCAAAAGCTTCTAGGAATTCAGGAGTACTTGAAATTGAATTTGAGTTTTAGTCATCACAACATCTATATTCGTTTGGAAAATAGTAGTATATAAAAATGCAAAACATGTTTTTATTCAGACTGAGATTGGCATGCAAACAGATTTATGTATTTACAATAATCCCATCCTCCCCATCCCCACCCCCCCACCAGTGGTTCAAAGGTTGGTGCCATTTGATGTAACAAAAGTCCAAAGAGAGTGTGCTCAGGCTATTTAGGAAGGAACCTGCCAATCTAGCTGAAGAAGCAGAAGAGCCCTCAGTGCCCTTCGTGATCTGCTCCTGCTACACATTTTGCCTCATCTGATAGCAATATCCATGTAGCTTTCCTTGGTCCAGCCTTACTGGCCTGCTTTTGGTTCTCAGGGAGCACCTTTTCCTTTCCTTCCTCAGGGCCTTGCAAGTGCTATTCTTTCTGCTTGGAACACTATTCCTTATCCCCACTTTCACCTTTGCTTAATATCTTCCTAGACATCCTCCAGACCAGGAAATTCCATGTTCTGTTCCAGTGGCATTATGGTGTAGGGACACAGCCTTGGTCTGTAGGTTGGGGGAACTGGTTTCTAGTCCTCGATCAACTTCTATCTAGCTGTGTATTTTGGGTTACTTTACCCTCTCTTAAAATTAATTTACTTTTAAGAAAATGGCTAAAAATATCACCTGTACCTAACCCAAAGAGCAGGCAGGAAATTCTAGGAGAAAACAGTGAAGAGCGCTTTGAAGAGCAGAAAGCACTATATTTGGAAACCTCCACAAGGACCTTTCTAGGATTCAGCCCAAAGCTCCCTCTCAGATTGCTCCTCACATGCTCTTTTCCTCTTTACAGTAGGTGTCAGAGATTTCAACTTGCTTTCCTCTCTTGTGATAACTGCCACTGATGAGGGATAGAAACAGAAAAACGTTCAGCTTTAGCCCAGAAGGCTGACCTATAGCTTGTGTAATTCCAATAAGGACCAAATATGTGCTGGTTGCTTCATTCTTTTTTTTTTTTTTTTTTTTTTTGACAGAGAGAGATACAGCGAGAGAGGGAACACAAGCAGGGGGAGTGGGAGAGGGAGAAGCAGGCTTCCTGCTGAGCAAGAAGCCTGATGCGGGGCTCGATCCCAGGACCCTGGGATCATGACCTGAGCCGAAGGCAGACGCTTAACGACTGAGCCACCCAGGCGCCCCGGTTGCTTCATTCTTAAAGGGTCTCATGACTGCTTGTATATCCCACTAATAGTTAATATCGAGCTGAATGATAAGCACCAGAGAAATCCTGTGAAAAGTAGCTTCACCAGTAGAAATTCAAAGATATTTATAATCTGTCCTCTGCCCCTTGAGCACTAAGCATATATACAGCAAAATTACAGTTCTTTCTGCCCATGGGTCCTGTCTCCATGCTATTTAAATACACTTACTCAGTTGCACCATACAATGTCTCAACAATTCTTTTTTTTTTTTTTTTAACACATAACGTATTTTTTGTTTCAGGGGTACAGGTCTGTGATTCATCAGTCTTACACAATTCACAGCGCTCACCATAGCACACACCCTCCCCAATGTCCATCATCCAGCCATCCCATCCTCCACACCAACCTCCCCTCCAGCAACGCTGTTTGTTTCCTGAGATTAAGAATCTCTTATGGGGGCGCCTGGGTGGCTCAGTTGTTAAGCGTCTGCCTTCGGCTCAGGTCATGATCTCAGGGTCCTGGGATCGAGCCCCGCATCGGGCTCCC